TGGAAGGTTTAAAATGAAGGGTGACATTTGGGAGACAGACTATAAATAGACTGGAGGCTGTAAGGACATAAATGGTAACTGAAGCCGTAAGCTGAGGAACCCCAACATTTAAAGCACAAGGAGAAAACTGCTCACCAAGGAAAATGAGGAGCAAGGCTCTAGGTTTGGATGACTGAACACTTCAGAGAGTCCTTATCTGCTGGCTTCTACATTCTCCCCTGGACTGCTACTGTACCCCCAGAATTAAGGCTACATGTGCAATGCTTCACTATCAAGCCAACTGCAAATGCAAAGCACACTTCTCATTCTCTACTTACCTGACGGCCTCTCCGAAATCTATTAATAACTAGGATCATTCTCACCCATATAGAAACTGTCCTCCCTGTGGCATCAATAATTTCCTCAATGTTCACTACTCCCCTGACGGTAAGACCCTCTGGCCTCATGCCTGTGTCAGTTTCTGGGACATCTGCACATCCTCTAGTTCTCCCTCATTCCCAATCATGCCTTATTTGTTTATCTTCTTTCACTTATAAGATGCTGATGTTCCCCTGCATGACATTTCATGTTCTTTTCTAGTACTACCTGCTCTTCCTGGTAAATCTTACACAAAGGGCAGGGGCACTGAACCTATCAGCTGTGATTCTCAATTCTTTATCACCAATCTTGATCTCTTCCTGAGATCCAGTCCTTTGTTTAATTCTTCCTACTGGAGTATTTTTTTACCTCCATTCCCCTCAGGCACCTCAAATACAACCTGTCCAAACTTAAGCTTATTGTCACCTCTCTAAAACTTGCTCTTTTCTTTACCGCCCGTAGATTAGTGACATCACCATTCACTCAAGCCAGAAATCTTACTGCTTCTTTCCAACTTTTTCTTGAACCACCTATCAGATGCCACTGCATCTTCTTCAAAACAACTTTCCAGATCAAAGAAGAAGCCCAAAACTCCACTCTGCTGTGTTTCAACAGGAATTGCTTATGTCCAGATCATCGCAGATGGACTCCTATGTTAAATCTATCAGTTCTACCTGCCTTGAAAACAGCTGTAGAGTTCTGTATCATTCAAGAGAATAATCTCAAGCTTCTTAGTGCCACTGTGGAGGGTATATAACTTGACATATGTCTATCATTGCTCATCTCCTACTAAGCTCTTGGCACAACCTTTCCATCTATGCCCACCCAAGTGCAGTCAGCTGTGACACTATGGGGAACTTGATAAAATGCAAAATCTCAGGTTCCACCCCACATTTTCTTATAAGAACAACTCAGGTGCCCATCAAAGTTTGAGAAGTGCTGGTTAGATGCTTTATATGCACTGAATTTCTCAACTCTCAAGACACATCATACCCTTTCAAATCTCCAGGTCTTTGCAAAAGCTGTACAATCTGCTGGGAATGTCCTATCAGACCTTTCGCACCCTGGAAAGTCCTATACTACTGTTAGGGCAGCTGACACCAATATAGTAGATAGTGGGCCATAAGTATTTGAATGCTTGGTATCCAGAAACTGAATGTTAGGCTGTTGGAAATAGTAGCCCAGAATTCAAAGGAGACGTAGGATGAGCTAGCAAATCTCTGGAGTTTACACTAATGGATAGATAAGGTCACCTATATTTAAGAAAGAGATTGAATAGAGGACAACAGGCCAAATAATGGAGAGAGCTGACATTTAAGGGATCCATTATAAGCAGTGAAGAGCAGGTTACCAGGATGGGAAAGAACTAAACTAGGTGTGTAGGAGCTCCAAAAAGATAACTGTTACCTTTGGCAACTTACAAGTAGACTATAACAATGAGGTCAGGGATAAAGCAGAAGCCTAACTTCTTTAGCCTAACCACTGAGTGAGAGAAGGCTAACAGAATGATCACTACAAGGACCATCTTTACTGGATGAAAAGGGAGAGAAAAAAAGATGAAACTGATGAGAGCTGTATCACACACACAGGCCTAGTCACAAAGAGGCTGAAAAACTTCAGTCATACCACATTTGCTGAGCACTTGCAGCCAGGTTCCACAAGCTAACTAGAACCATGACAATGAACAACATAGGTAATGCCCCTGCCCACTGACCTATGAGATAAATCGAGTAATTGATGAAAACCCCACAACATGACTTGGAGAAAAAGCAACTTTTCCTCTGGTGGTTGGTATAATGGCAGGAATGTAAATATTAAGAGAAAGGTATATGGAGGGTATAATGTTCACACCCAATCTGTTTTTTTATGTAAATGAAAAGATTCAAGGAAAGAAAGATGATAACATTTCACTATGCTCCTCAACAACTCTGAAATAGTAGGATCCCCATTCTTGATGCATAAAGCAACTGAGGCACACAGAGAGGACAGGGGATTTGTCCACACTTGTTAGCCTAACAAGTGCCCCTTCCCTGTGTGTAAACAAATAGCTAACAAGTGGTTGGGAGACCAGTACTTTTTTATCAGTTCTCCAACCAGTACTTTATCAGTTCTTCTCCTGTTGACTGCATGAAAAACAGCAGTGCACCAAACCTTAACAAGATCCCCAGATGACACTGATGCTGCTGATGCATGGACCCCATTCGTTTACATCCATCTAAGCCCTAGACCTTCATGTTCTCACAGTAGGGCCTGAAGGTACTCCACTAAGATAAAGAAACTAAAGGACTAATAAAAGTCTTCAGTACTTAGCACATAGACAAAATAGAAGCAGGTTCTTGGATGACAGATAACCAATGACAGAAATTTAGGATGCTGATTAGAGGTAAGCAAAGAGAAAAGTGATTGCTTTAGAGGCAAAATAGTATAGTAATAAGAGCAAGGATTAGGAGGAAATTTGTGAACTTGGCAAGTTATATAACCACTTTGTACTTCAGTTTGCCCACGTGTATAATAGGGACCATTATAATACATATCCTTTAGTGTTGCTAGGTAGATTAAGAGAGCATATGTGAAGCCCTTACTTAGAACAGTGCCTGCATTTAATAACTGCTCTGTCAAGGCTTTCATTTTACTATTATTGAGACAGCTTACTACTACTGCCACTATTATTACCAGCATGACTTGCTAATAGGCAGGCAATAAAATACGTCAAAAGGAGCCCCACCAGGAACTCCAACAGCAACAGAACTCTTTACAAGCGATACAGAGACAGATCTAGAGGATGACCTACCACTGGTAGCAATGCAGTTTTAATACGTAGGCCTCCACTGCCTTGTTTTGCCAATTATAGGAACCAGTCAACTTGAGCCAACCAATCTGCCAATTGTAGTTACCACTCAACTTGAGCTCATGGCAATGAATTTCTAAAATGGCAAGAAGTATCTGAATAAATACCCCAAACCATACATCAATTGCATAGTTTTTGAGTTGTTTCCTAAACTGGAAAATCAAAATTAAAACAGTTGTTTGGTTGAAGAAAACAGTCCTTTTAATGATCACTGTACCCTAGTGTACACTTTATGAACACAATGACTCTATACACCAAAATGTCCTCAGATTGTGCCTACCAAAGTAAGGCATTGAGCAAAAATGAAAGCCAGGCAATTATCTGGATATCCTCAGGAAAAAAATTCCTCTACATGGTTACGTTCTTCCACTTTTCTGCTTTAGATGTAGCCTAAAATATTTTTTCCAGAGAACACAAACAGTTCTCCACTTCAACTTCAGTTTAGTCCTTAACAAAAAACAAAGGTGGGAATCTCCCAAGTTAACTGTTACTGAACCTTCACCTTTTCCGGAAGCTTTACTTTGGAAATTTCAGCCAAGTCTAAATGATATGTATCAAAAAGGTGGAGACAGTGCCATAGACTCAGACGGAAGATTAGACTTGTTAATAGGATCCATGAAGAATGACCACAGCTGTGGCATCCAACAATGGAATTAACATTTCAACAGAAAGCAGAGAGCCATCCCTACAGAAAGGGCCACCCAATCCTGCTGTAGAGCCCTTAAAAATATATATATTATCTTTCTGGAGGCTACACAAATTGTGCTTCGGTCTCACCTACGGATTTTTAAAAAAGTCATTCATTTGGTTCTGAACTGCAGCAAGTGCTTACTTTGAAAAATAAGATTATTTGGTTAAAACACTGACATGTAAACATAAAATTTTTTTAGGGGCCAAATGACTATGCTATTTAATGGTCCACGCATTTTTTAAATGCCTTTTTTCCCCTCCCGAGAAAGGAGCAGTAGAAAAATGTACTTGGCGAATCCTTTAGGAATTACCGTGTACAAGTCAGCAGGTCTTATCTTCCAAATGCATTAATTCATTATAAACTCAAAACTGAGGTTACTAATTTCTCCTTTGCCTTTTGCAAATCAATATTGCATTTCTGCAGGACCCTACTTTTGATTTTCCACGGTGGACTCCGTCGAGCTACTGTCTAGTTAACAGCTCCTGCCTGGGCTTCCTTCTTCCACAAGACCGAGAGTGCTCAAGCTACTGTTCGCTCAGCGCCTCTTTCCTAGAGGTAGCTTGGACGATCCGAGGCACTGAGAAGCCCAGTGTCCATTTAATCATGGCGTTTGTAATTCAGCCTCCCCGCCTGGACTGCTCGACACCTGCAAACTCGCCGCCCAAGGTTTCTGAAATCGGGTAACGCTGGACAGACACGACACGACGGCTAACAAGGGAAAGGCAACTGCAAATAAAGCAAAACCCGCACCCGCGCGGCAAAGAACTGTTTGAGAGAAAAGCCAGGAACACCGGCATGCCGCGCCCACCCACTCGGGAGCCCCTCCACCAACGCCCCTCATCGCGGGCTCGGTCCTCTGCCCCGCCGACACCCCAAGCCCCCACATGGCTCCCATCCAAGCAGTTTCACCTTCCCGTTTTGAGCTCCTGGGTTCCCAAAATCATCCCGATGCAATTCCGTCAGCACCGCCACTACTGCCGCAGCGCCCCCAAAACGCGCCAGCCCCCTCCCCCACGTCTCATTGTTCCTGGGTGGCCGCAGGCAGCGAGCGCCCCAGGGCTTCGCCGGCAGAGGGTACCCAGGGACAGCACTGCCCCCACTTACCCACGACACCGCACAGGAGCACGAAGCGCAGTAGAAAAGCCATGGTGGCTGCCCCGCCGTGGGCGGCGACTGCAGGTAGGCGGCTCTCACCCGGGGGTCTCAGTCGCCCGGCGCCTCGCGCGCTCCCGACTGGCTGGCGGCTGCCGCACCTCCGCACCCCCGTCCTACCCCGCCCCAGCTCGGCAGGTGAAATACGTCATTTCCGGTGATGACTGCGCCCCCGCGGCGCGCGCCCGCTCCGCCAGGCGCTTGAGGTTGCCGTGGCAACCCGGCGCTGGGCGAGGGCTGCCCCGGGGAACCTCCTGAATGCGGAACTTCCCCAGCCCACAGCGCTAGGCGTTGAGGTGCGCCGGCAGCCATGCTCCCCAAGCCTAAGCTGGGGTACCCGCTTCGGTGCTTTCAGTTAAATCTCGGTTTGTGCGCGAGGGTCGAGCCAGCCCCTCCCTAGACAGCTGAAACTGCGGTCGCATCCTTGCTTAGGGGCGCGGCACCGGACAATACTTGCCAGGCAGCCCCCGTTTCCGGAAGGTCGGTCCCGCCTGCCCTCACCCTCTACCCCCTCCGGGCACTAGGAGGTGGGAGGGCCTCCGTCCCCGCGTCCCACCTCGGGTGGTTCGCTGTGGAGGCGGGGTCTCCCACCTAAAGCTCTCCGGGAGGAGAACTGAGCAACCCTGGGCATTTGTTATTGTCTCTGAGTCGGTGGGCTTGATGTAGGGAAGGCGGTTCCCGAAGGCTTTCCCCATGTCCAGTAATGACTGAACCCTTAAATTGCAACTACTCATTTGGGAAATATCCTGATTGGGTTTTCTATCCCCGTTTATTTAAAGGTTATTCTAGCCCTGAAATTGTCCAACAAATATCAGTGAGCTTGGCAAGTCGGGCTAAGAAGGGCTGATTAACGGCTTGGGTGCGGCGGTGCCGCGGCCGGGGAGTTAGAGATCTCCAATCGTTGGGTGAACCCTGGAATGTGGCTTCTGCCTCCTGGTGCCCTCCACACTTGTTCTAGTGTCATTTTGTATTCTTGGTTGCTCTTTTCAGATAACGTTTATTTATAACTGCTGAGAGGTTGGTGTTCCCAAGAATTCCTTATCAGGAGTGAATAAGAGCAGAGAAGCAGTGTAGCGCAGTGGGTAAGTTCTTGGGCCACGGAATGGGGCAGTAACTGGGCCTACCTCAGGAGTAGCTACGAAAATCAGATGAGATAATGCACAAAAGAATGCTTGGCACCGTGCCTGGCACATAGGCCTCAATAAAATGGAAGCTAATAAAAAATATTGGAGCATTCTTATTTATTGAACCATCAAAGAGACAGTAAATCACTTATAAGGAAGACCAAGATTGTCCAACTGCAGTTTAGCCTGGGTTTGCAACCCTACCTGCACGTTAAAATTATCTGGAGAACTTTAACAAAATACCAATACCTGAGTCCAGACTCTGGTGATGCTGATTAACTTATCTCCAGTGGAATCACGGATGTAAAAAAAGTCCAGAGAAACTGCTAGGGCTTCCTATTAGTTGAAGAAAAAGGAATTCTATTGTATATAGTTGAAGGTATAAAACATTTGGAACTTTAATTTTTACTCAACACATTATACTTTGTGGAATTAGAAAAGACTGAGCATGAAAGTTGTTCATAGCTATTTCAGACTGTTTTATGAGAACTTTTCTAGCATTGATCACTTCAGAGTAGCACACATTTGTTATAAAGTTGCTACTCAGGGATCTTAATCAGTACTAGAGGAAATCTTTCAAATTACCCAAAAGGATTTTCATTTTAACCCCTTTCCTTCTGGTACTTTTTTTTTTTTTTTTTTCAATCCTTACCTTTTGCTTTCTGTGGTAGGCATTTTCATGCCTATCAATCATTTCTCTTACTCTGAGTATTTATAGAAACCAAAAAAGGTACTGTTATTCACCTTTGTCATTCCTGGAAGCACAACCCATAATAGGTTCTCCAGTATTTGTTGAATTGAATATGTTTAATCTATATATAATTAATGACATATATTAATAAAAATATTTAAATAACCATGCAATAACTCACAAGTCACTACATCCTAATTCATCTTGTTAGAATGTACTTTTTTAAATGTAAATTTTACAAAATTAATGTTTTATACTTCAGATTACTGAACACAAGTTTTTCCAAATGTATTATCCCTACAATTTACATAACTGAAAGTAGTAGTTTATCTTATTTTACTTCTTTAAAAAATTATATTAAAGCTGGGGAAAACAGTTATGTGAAGTTCTCTTTAGACTTTGACTATATTGCAGCATATAAAGAGTAGCTAAAATTATGCAGTTATTCCAAAACTTCTTAATGACATCTTAAAAAGCCTTTGCTGCTCTTGTCAGCTTGTCTCGTGGAAGCTGTAATGAGATAATCGCAGTAGTTCTGGAACATGCAGATTATTGATTGGTGTCCTCAAACCAAGCTAACAAACAGCGTACTTTAAATAAATTGTCCTGTCTTAGTAAAGCACCAACTACTCCACACTGTATAGCCTTTAAAGCAGCAGAAAGGTAATTCCTGGTCCATCAGAAGGTGATAATTATAAAGACATAAATAACTCTGTGGTTAATATAGCATCTGTCCTTACAAAGATTTCTCTGTAGTAATGGATTTGTCAACACACTTATAGATGATTAAAATCCTATGATCACATGCTTAAGAGTTAAAAGTTCTTCCCATCCTGGAATATGAAGGCATGTGAAGCAAGAAACTTCCATACACAGCACTGCTGATTTTTACATTTTCTGGAAAATGATAGTGCTGTTTAAGAAGAAATGATGGTTTCTCACAGGTGTGTTCTACTTATATCACCAATAACATTGGTTTTATGGGTTACTGCCATCTAAATCATCTACTTACCCCTAAGCAAATGAGTTTATAAATACATACATTTTTAGTTTTATGCCATGTTTATAGTATTTATTAATCAACCTTTAGCCAGTGAACCATAATTTTTTTTTAGATTCCCAGTAACATAGATTTCATTGTAAATACAAAAAAGTGATGTTTATGCAAACCAAAACTGAGGCTTTTATTGATGGCTTTTAAAATGTTCTTATTCAAGAATAATCTTTATTTATTCCAATTGCTTTGTTTTGGTCTGTGTCATTTCATATTATATAGTTGCTTTCCTCCAATTCCTGTTAATTTGTGGTTTTCTGCTCAAAGGTTAAGTAAAGGCATGAAAAAAAATATTGAAAGTATATGGAAAGTTGTGGGCTTGTAGGTGATACTTCTTTATTGTGGTCTCAGATTGGGTCAGTCTGAGGAGACCCTCAGTAAAATTTAGAAAAGTTCTGTCACCAAAAAAAACAGGTGGCCAGCTTTCTGGAAGAATGTTTGGAAGAGCACTGGTTATATAATATAACCTTATTATATAAATCCTTGTATATATTATAGTATCCCCTCCCTAACCCAGCTTGATATCTCCTGTCGAAGACCCTCTTTTTACCCATCCAGGCTTATGCCAGGTTACAAAAGGGGTAAAGGTGGAATCTCAGTGTTTAACTCTTTTTCAACTAACTTTGAACCAATCATCCTGTTTAAGCCTCAGTCCTAACACACTGTCAAATGTGTCTGATGCCACGAAATTCTGAAACTTTGAAGATTTATCTGAACCACTGCTGACTTAGAATTCAGCTTTCTTGAGTGCATTCAGTCAGTTAACTCACCGTCTGCTTCTTGGTTTCCAAAAATTTGCTGTTTTTATCTTCTGCCCTGTTATCTTTGTCCTTTTACCTGGAGGCCTTTTTTTAAAAAGTCCATTTACTGTAATTTTAACAAGGTATTCTTTGAGAGGAATAGAGGCAAATGCATGTGTTTAATTCTCCATCTTTATTAAAAAGTCTGACCTCAATTGGAGTGAAATACCCCCATGCATACTGAAGTTTTAAAAATCTGAAGAGAATTCACATCTTTACTCTTTTTCTGCATAATACAAGATCTTAGACTGGTTTAACTCCTATCAAATCCCCCTCCTAATTTATATTGTAACCCAGTGTTTTGTTTGGTCTACCTTATAAATTATACATTGTCATTTACAAAGCTGATGTCTAATTAGATTTGTCTACATATCTTTTGTTCATCATTTCTTCTTGTGTCTCAAACCACTCCTGGGATTTGATTCCAGAAGTATGTCCTTTACAAATTCTTATACCTAGGATCTCTTGAATATAAACTTTGTTTTTGTTTGTCTAAATATATCTATCTTTAATTTGCCCTAATTCTAAAAAAGGTAGAATATTTTTGTATAGAATTTGAGGATTATTGGTCTTTTCTGTCAATGCTTTTTTTCCCACTAGATTTTGGCTTCCTTTGCTGCACTAATGAAATGAATCTAACCAACCTTGTAGTTTATCTGGTGGTTTCTAAGATCCCTTTGATTTGTTCTTCAGTTTTATTACAATGTGTCTAATTTGGATTTTCTGGAACCTGAGAGAATTCCTATCATACCTCAATTCTGGAAGAATCTCAAATTTCAAATTCTTGTTGAATATTGCTATTCCCACATTCTCTCTATCATCATCCTTTGAGATGCCAATTAGACATATGTTTCAGTACCTTATTCTATCCTACACATATTATTCTCTTATATTTTTCATGTATTTGATATTCTGAGCTGAATTTCAGGTAATTTTTCAGTTTTATCTTCTGGTTAACAACTTAGCTCTTCAGTTACGTTGAATCTACTATTTAATTCTCCGAATGGGTATTAATTTCAATTATATTTTTCATATATATATATTTAATATTTTTCATATTTGTTTAGCTTCTTATTCTCCACACATATTTCCAAATATCTCTTAACATTTCTTTGAACATACTCAACACAATATATATTATGTGCAATAGTTATGTGATTTGAAATCTTTGTACATCTCATTTTGTTTTTTGTTTATACAGATTCTTATGTTAGGCTTTTTTCATGTTTATGATTATTTCTTATTGTAAGCTCATGTTTGGGGAACTTTGTGTGAATGTTTGAAGATTTTAAGTGCTTTCCTTGAGAGAGGATTTGTATTAGCTTTTAGGGGCACTACCAATTCAGGAAACATTTTAAAGTAATTGTTGGCATTAAGTTTCTTAGATGACACAGTTACTGTGAATTTGATTCAGAAATCAGCTGAAGAAACTTGGTTCAGAAACCAGTGAGGGAAGAGTCACAGTTATAAATTCTCAGATGAGTCATATGACTCTCATCTCTTCAATAGCCCTTTTAAATGAAATAACACTCCCGTGCTGTGTAGATGAGCTATATAGTGAAATTAAACCATGTCTTCCTTTGTTGATAGCCCTCCAGGTTTTTTCATCTAGCTTGCTCCGTTTAGTTTGTTGAATCACTTGAAAAACATTATATTTGGTTGCTTTTGTGAGATTCTGGTTGTCTGGTTAGAATAAATAAATCCTTGTCAAGGACTTCCTCAAAAATATCCAAGTTAGGGCATTTCCAGGGCCACATTCTGACTTTCACGGGCCCTGGGTAGTTTGCTTTTCTGGACCCCTCCTACCACACACACACACACACACACACACACACAAATTATAAAATTGTCTTTTACAATTGTGTTGGTATAAAGACAAATTTAATCAGGGCTGGATCATATTAGTATTTTTGATGAAAAAGGCTGGATTATATTAGTATTTTTTATGATTTTAAAAGAAATGCAAATATTTTCACAAACCCTGGCTGAGTTGTCTCTGGGCATTGTCTGTCTCCCTCCCTCTTGCTGCCCTTGATGTAAATTGTTCTGGTGATACCAATAATATTAAGAGCTTCCTTGGAAAGGGAAGGGAAGAAGTAAACTTATAAATTTCCCTCTTACTGTTCTTTGCCTCTGTTTCGCCTCTTTTGCCAAAAGTCTTTGTCCTGGTGTCATCTTCCCCAGTGCTTTTCCTCTGCTTTTCTTCTACTTTTCTAGTACTACATTTGCCTGTATCTAGAGATAAGAGATAAGGTATTTACCTAGGGGTAAAAGTTTATTGCTTGTTTTATTTGAGCTCTTCCTTCATCTCTGTTGAAGGGTCCCCACCAGTAAGATGGCAATCTTCTGGCTTCTCTTCGGGGTCCTCAGTTCCCGCCGGCGCCACCTGAAGCCCAATCACCTCTCGCCCCGCTCCCAATCCCAGCACCTAGCCAACAGCCACCAGCCCCGTAGAAGTGACACCTCAATCAATTCATGCCCCTTCCTATATAACCCAGCAACTTTCCCTAATAAAGGCGGAACTCTCCGGTGAATTGCTGCTATGTGTCGCTCCTTTCCTTTCATCTGTGTTCTGTAGTTTATATTTTAATTTAAGGTGTTTTTGTTTTGCTTGTTTCTGTAAAAAGAAATTGGACTGCAGAATAAGCCAGGATCTTATATCCTCTCTCTGGAATTTTATACTAACTGTGGTGGTGACCCTTAGAAAGAAAATTAAACTCTGTGAACTCTGTAATAATCCTCAGGGAGAATTATAATGGCTGGTATTTATGGCATACACATAGGATGTTTTAAGAATATGACTTAATGTTTACGCAGTGCGCTGAGCTTTTTAGATCAAAAATGCTGAATTTACCGGCATTAAACCCATTTAATATATACCAAGATTATATATTTAAATATTACAGAAGTGGAGGGAGTCTCAAATACTTATATTTTACTAGTTTCTTTTTGGCTAGAGACAGCTTTATGTCTGATAAATAATGACAATGCTTTACATTTATAGGCTGTATAACATCTTTTATCCAAGGAGTTCAAAGAACTCAGCAATTATAACTCATTGTTCTTTAAAATAGCTCTACAAAACTTGAGATGACACACATTAGGTAAACTCATTATAGGTAAAGAAACTGAAGTCATGGAGACATTAAAGTGTTAATAAGGCATTTCAGGAGTCAGAGATGGAATTCAGCATAGGTCCCCCTTTCTTTGATTAGACCATAACCAGTAGCACATTCCTTCCCCATAAAGGTAAGCTCTTCAAGAGCTTCAGTTGTGTTTACTATAAAGGTACTCCTAAACTTTAAAGGTTTTAGCTATTACTTCTCTCTCCAAACTCATTTTGGTTATCCCTCTCCAGCCCCTTGCAAGAGCCACTAAGCAGATGCTGTCACTTCTGTCTGGAATATGTGATCTTCTCAAGTGGTTATCTTCTAGTCATCCTTCCCATTTCAGATCAAATATCCCCTCCTAAGAGACCCCTGGTTAAATCAAATTCCAGCATTTTAGTTTCTGGAAGTACCAGGCACTTCCCTGTCAGAGCACTTGCCACAACATTCAATGTTAATTACTTGATTGTTTTATTAATGCCTATCCCACAAACCCAACTGTAGGCTCTATGAGGGCAGAGAACATGTCTGTTTTCCCTTACTACTGTAGCCCCACTGTCTAGTTTAGTGCTTGGTACTAAATATGGGCTCAAAACATATTTGTTGACTGAGTTAATTTAAATTTTTAGGAAGCGTTCTTCCAGAATTTGAACCCATATTTAGACTTCAGCTTGAAGTTATAATCTTGGAGAAAATAGTTGGCATTCTAAATTATTTTCCAACCATATTTAAATAGGAAAATATATACAGTTCCTTAGCAACTTAATTCAAACAAAAGCTATTAAAACTCTAGTAAGTTTAAAGACAAATCAAGAAAATGCTGAAAGGGTTAGAGCTCATAAAAATTGTGATTAAAGGGAGCTACCACATTTTAATACAAAATTCATCTCTGGTCTTCAAAAATTTGGAATTAGACAGGAAAGCCAATGGATTATTTCTATAGCAGGAGTCCCCACTTGAGCCCAAGAGGTGGACTTCTCTATTTCCCTTTGGCTCTTTGACTTCTATACATCTTCACATATTAATTTGAATGGTCAGGATGGGTACACTGTAGATTTTTCTAGGGTACTCGAGGAAGACTGAGAGAAGATTAGATCCATTTGAGCAGTCTATCCCCTCACATCTGAGACTTGTAGAGAGTTGCTGCCAGCAAAAGCCATAGATGTGCTGACAAGCTGCTCAAGTGTAACCCAGAGTAAGCAAAAATCTCTTCTTCTGAAGTTAGGTTTTTTGGTTTAGCAGAAAGAGCCATCTAAGGTGGGTGTGTATGTTGTTATTGTTGTTTTATTTTTTGTTCTAAACAGGACCTGTCATAATTCTATCTATGTTCTGGCAAGAAAACTTTACAGACAGTACCAAGGGTGGATCTAAAGAAACTAGGAAGAAACAAAAGGAAAGAGGCCAGTGAAGAAATAACTGTCATAGTTACAGTAAAATCTAGTGGAGTCTGAATTCAGGTTGGGGTTAAGAGAGGTCTGGGAGGCCTTTTAGAGAAAGGATAAGCAGGATTTGAGCCCAGTTGGATGTGGGCTGTTTGGAATAGGAAACAACGCTGTCTCAGGTTTCTAGGTTTGGACAATCAGTGCATAAGGGTGCTATTAACTAAGTAGTGAATAGAGGACAAGCAGGTTCAGTGAGGTGTAAATGTTAGGTTTTTGGCATCTGGAGGACATCCAAGTGGAGATGCCAAAAAGAGGGACAACCTGGCTGGAGAACCAGATTTTGGAAACTAGATTACACTCCTTTGAGGAATTAGTTTGTTGTTTTATATTCGTTGTAAATCTTGTAGCAGCCATGGTGTAAATGTGGTTAATTTCCCAAAAAAAGCCCACAAATACCCATTGGGACTATAGTGTTCCTGATAGAGGATGAAGAAATGTCATTCATAAGATTGTTTCTGTGGGGACTCACATTCACAAGGCCAACTCAGCACTCCAATAAAGCAACTTCTTTCACTCAGACATAGATAGAACTGGGAGCTGAGATTTCTTTGCTAAACCTTATTCTGTTCCCAGGAACATTGAAGCATAGAATGTTTAAAATGTTTAAGGTCCAGTTGCATATATTACACTATGGAACTAGTATGTTTATAGTTTTATGAAGAAGAGACATTTACATTTAAATAAATGAGAGGGAGAATTGGCAGATCTTTCAGTTAGGTATAAATGATAGAGCATGGATAGATACTGAAGGGAATGCAGTAGAAAGTTGGACTGAAGGACCCTGGCTGGAGTGAAGTAACAGGGGTGGTGAGTCAGCAAGAATAGAAAGCTTGGTACCACAGATCTCAGGCAGCTTTGGTGACATTATTGATGGGTTTGGAAAGATACCAGCTGTGCTATTGTGATTTATAAGAAATACATATATATTTGGTCATTCAAGTAACCAAAATGTATTTCTCATACATTTTGTCCATAGTTCCTGGCCCACAGCTCCCAAAAGTCTTGGAATTTTCCTGAGTGATAAGAGCAATGGGAGCATCATTTTTTATATTTAATCTCTTGTCCTCAGTTCCTGAAAACATTTCAGAGCCGTAAGTGTGAAATGGATGTCTTGTTATTCATAACAAGCTCCTTTCCATCACTACTGCATTTATGATATTGAGGTGATTTTTCAAAATCCCCTAAAGGTGGAAACTGACCATGTAACCAGGGGAATTGACCATGAATAGAGGGATGAAACTTTCAGTCCCTCTCCTGATTCCCCAGGAGGGAAGAGGGGCTGGAAGTTGAACCAATCATTAATGGCCAATGATCTAATCAATCATGCCTGTGTAGTGAAGCCTTCATAAAAATCCAAAAGGAGGGGTTTGGAGAGCTTCTTGGTTGGAGAAACAGTACTCCTCCATGTGCCACCGTGCCAAACCCCAAATATCATGAACACAGAAGCTCCTTTGTTTGGGACCTTACCTTCTGTATTCAGCTGGCTGTTCATTTGGATCCTTTAATATTCTTTGTCATAAACTGGTAATCTAATGGATAAATTAGTTTTCTGAGTTCTGGGATCTGCTCTAGCAAGTTAATCTAACCCAAAAAGGAGGCTGTTGGAACCTCCAAACAAGCCAGTCGGTTAGAAGCACAGGTGACAACAAGGGCTTGTGACTGGCCTCTGACAGGGGTGCTGTCTTGTAGGACTAATCCCTCAACCTGGGAATCTGATGTGATCTCTGGGTAGAGTCACAGTTGAGTTGAATTGTAGGACACCCAGCTGGTGTTAGAGAATTTCTTGCTGGATTGGGAAAACACACACACACATTCATTGGAATTGTGGAACAGAACCTTGATTAGCCATATATATTCTGCTGAACAGTACTAAAGAAGGGAAAGATGGTGAAGTGGAGGGGATGCCCAGGGGCAGTGGGAGTAAGCAGGGAAAAGCTGTTCTTTGGAACATCAATTGACTCTTTAGCTAGGATGGCCATTCATAGGTATATTGGGTACTTCTAATGTCACATTGCTAGAAGTGAGATCTATTATCCCAACTCACAACTCAAGCTCTGAAGCACTAGAAAACATGTAAAGTTCAGACAAAGTATGAACTTTTCTGTTGTGTAGATGGATATGTTCCAGGGACAGGCTCTCTCAACTCACCCATTCCTACTTAAATAGGTTGAAAAGTCAGTTAAGTATTCTTAATTCCAAATCATTTGAATGATTTAAGAAGTCCCTCTTATCATTAAAAAAGCATTCTTGTGACTGCTGAGAATTGTGATTTTACTTTTAATAAACCTATTGCGTATACAAATAAACTGTGGCTGAATTTTGCTTTTTGTTTGTTTGTTTCTGTTTCCCTGGTGCTACTATTGCTAAGCAAGGAAGGAATATAGGGAGTATCAGTGAAAGATTACTTTCTTTTCTGTCTGTGAGTCAGACAAACTTCGGATTTGGCAGGAGATAATGGGCGAGGGTGGCACTTGACCCATTGTAGAAACTTAAGAAAACTGAGGAAAGAACACTTAAACATATTTAATATTTACTTATTTAAGAAGTATTTAGGTGGCCCCAATTTATAGCATTTTATTTTTTGTGTTATTCCAATAGACTAAGTGCACTGTGGCTTGACCAAGTAGAAATGTGTTCAGTGCATATATTAGACTCTGTTAATATGAAAGGAATTGTCCAAAGACTGTCCTGTAGAAGTGTTAGTCCAAAACTTTGAGTTCTTTACTCCAATTTTATATCTTTCCTTCTTGCTTAAGGAAAGAAATGGATTTTTGGTGAATAGCCCCACCATATCCCATATGGCTCTCAACAAATGGCTGTTGGTTTCC